GGAGAGGGGGGGGGGGGGAAGAGGGTATCGAATACCGCAGAGATGTCACGATGATAACGGATTTCGCTCTTTTCCCATTTGGACGAGTTTGGCGTCGATATCTCTTCTCGGTGACCCTGAAATTTCCGGACCCCGGTAATTAATCTCTCTACTCCCGACGTAACGCGACAATCGCGATGTTCCACTATGATCGACGCTAACATTCACCAACGTAAGGCTCGACAGAGATTTTATCTAGAGGTTTAGCTAAATTTACGATATTATATCGATATTAGGTAAAATTAAAAGTTATAAATTTTTAGGTAAATTTTATCGAGTAAGTGAAAATTTAATATAAGTGATTTGCGACAAGACAGATTTGTAAGGTAAAATTCAGTCAGCATCTTCCTACAATGATATCTATGTTACATGCTGATGCTTTGAAAGAAGCAGCTGCGGCTCATCACGAAGGCAGATCAAATTTGGCAAGGCAGAAGTAATCGATAGCATCCGGAATGATGCCCGCGGAGAAATTGGCTTTGTGCCGAATGATAAATCTTGACGTCAAAATAATAAATGTCTCTTGTCATTTTATGCACTCGCGAAAAGAGTTAATTTAATTTACATCAATTCGGAATAATATGAAAATAACACGATTAGCATAATTCTCCTTAGTCGTCTCATTACGAGTTCAATTAGTGATAATCGTAAAAATATCATCGAAAAAAATCCGGAAGAAATTATATAATTATTATTATTAAATTATTATTAAATTATTATTGAAAGTAGTAATATATTATATAACATATTGTAATTTTTATTACGCAAACGTCATAAAATGAAAAATTTGAATAAAAATAATTACACGCAAATTGTAAAATTTTGTTTTCACTTTGGTGAAAATTAGATGATTTAAATTATATATTGAGAATAATTGAATTCTCACACATTCGATAATCTTTTTATAAAGAATTCAGATAATTTTTTAATGAAATATACATATTATTTTTAAACTTCGTAATTTCTACTCTAATATCTCAATATATTCCGGGATAATTAATACTTTATTATAATCTACTATAATCTTTTCTTTCAGAAATGCTGTAATTTCACAAAAAAAAATTTTATGTCCAAAACTTTAGACTTTTTACATAAAACTTTTTTAAATTTGATAAATGTTTGAAAAGTATTATTTTTTATTGTTCGCAAAGTATTTATTTTAAGAGAATTCCTTTTAAAGGAAATTATTAAATATTATTAACATAGATAATATTGATAATGATTGAACAATGCACAATTATATTAGCAAAATTTACATGGGTCCGCTTCAACATAAATTACATGATCTATCATCCACGTAACATCCATTACGCATAATATATTATCTCATATGCATGCATATCCCAAATTCTATGCAAATTGTAGTGTGAAATGTTTATCATTTTGTTTACTGTAAAATCTTATCATAAAGATAGAAAGATAAGTTTTCCAAAACTTTATATAATTAAATTATTTAAATGATACGCGAAATAAAGCACATACTACAATGTTCAATGATGATCATCAGCAAATAGCAGTTTACGTGATGTTGTCAATTGTTGGAAAAAATAATTGTTAATATACGTCATCAGTGCGCACGTATATTCTTGAATAGGTCGAATAACAAAGAGAGCGTATATCGCATGCGTCGACTGCGATACGCGAGTTGCAAGCAGATTTTTGCGCAATTATCGATGCAATCTTGAAATATTGTGCTACTTCAAGATGTTACGTTCACAGAAATTATCTCACATTAACTGACAATTTAGAATTCAAATACTAAGAAACTATTTATGTACAGAATACGCTTATATGTGCAAGAAAATTACGATTAATTGTACTCATTTGATAACTGCGATCTTTAACTACACTGTTTTGCAATTATATAAGAAGTTTCATACAGATTCAAAGTAGATAAATATATTTTTTTATTAGAAAAAAAAATATATATATATATATTTAAACAAATAGAGTCGTAGTCAATTCGGCAAGCAAGATCTTGGTTGCTCAATTTCTACGTATGAAATAAATTTCAAATAATTTTTTTTTTAAATTATTTGAAATTTATTTCACAGCTATTGAGCAATCAAGATCCTGCCGAGGAATTGGCTATGACTCTATTTGTTTATTAACACATACTCGGCTATTAATATATTATATACAATATTTGTTTTATAAAATTAAAAGAATTAGTTTGTCTGCAATGTAATGTTCATTTATCATAAAATAATAGTGTTTTTTTAAATTTTTTAATTCTTTTAGCAACGTTCTGTATTTAGTAAGCATTATTCATTTATTAAAAACGCGGTAAAGCGTCAAATGCGCGATGAAGCTCTTATATATATTTATATTTATATATTATATATTGAAAATTGTTATAATTTTCCAATATATCACTCAAACGTTTTAATGTACAGCTTAAGATTACGAAGTAATTTATTAAATTGTATTTGTTTTCACGAATCAAAGAATTATTAAAAAAGATCTTTCTTGATAATACTGACGGCTCGAGTGGAGCTGCAACCGTTTCGACGACTGACATCGCGGCGGCATCCCGCGGCCCGCTATCGAGAGAGTTACATGAAAATTGACACTGGACACTCTTACCTTTTTTCCTAAAGAGTGGGCGATACTGCGCAAGGCCGATCTCGGTGAGCCACTGGTCCGCCTCCGTGATTTCCCCATTGCTCCCGGTCCCCGCGGCGAGCATCAACAGCTTCCCCAGGGAGAGCACCATGGAAAGAGCCAAGAACACCCCGGACAGCACCGTCGACCATCGTGCCATTGCATCCCGTGGAGCGCATCTACAACGAGGAAGAGTAACGTCGGAAACGAGCGCTCGGTCGGCCTCGTCGGGATCGCGAGTCTCGTCACGGGACTCCCGCGCGGAAATCCCGTCATCGGCGCGCGACGGACTGTCCCGGGTGCCGCTACGTCGGAATCGGAGTCAGGTTATGGCCTCGACGTTGGAGGTTAGGTGCGCCACGGTGTTTGTAAACAAGCGCCGACGCCGGCTGATCAGCTGATCGCCGCCGATCGCGGGCTCGTCCCGGCGGAAAAAAAAATCGGCTTACCACATTTTCGCGGGGAGTCGTTTTCACGCGCCGCACACGACCTCCGACGACACCGTCGTGATGACGCGCTCGCGCGCGCAACTTTTGCGCCGGAACAACGCGTATGTATATATGCAACAGCAGCAGCAGCAGCAGCAGGCAGCAGCAGCAGCGATACGCCGTCGAGAAAACTGCAGATGGAGCGACAAGTGGAGGACGGCGATTGAAAACTAGGGAATTTCTCAAATCTGAGCGCGCGTAAAAGATGAAAACGCCGAATTTCTCGTGGAACAGCGTCGACTTTCATCTCAGCGCTCTCTCGTTCATTTATATCTCTTGCATTTTTTACGTAGTTTTGCGTTCGGATACGTTGCGTGATGAAATTCACTAGGAAATGTTATTTATTATTGGTATTATTGTTGTTGTTGTTATTATTCATTATTATTACTATTTATTATTATTATTCATCATTCTTGACGAAAATTTATTTGTATATTGTATTTTTTATATTGTACTAGAACAGAATAACAGCTACGCGCGCGCCACTAAGCTTTTCATATTATATATTTTTATATTATTCGTTGATGATAGCGACGTACCGTCGTGATGAAAAATAGAAATTCATTCATTCTTGTTCATCTTATCTTTGTCCTTGTTCAAAAAGTTTCGATTCAAAGTTTCATTCGCTACTAACATCGCCTGTCCTTTACAAATTGGCATTTGCAAATTGACAGTAACTCACGAAATTAGCGCAGCAAAAGAACCAATCAGCATCGCGGAAAAGCATGGCAACAATAAACTTCGAGAAATGCGAGAAATCGACTTAACATCTCCTTTTTTATAAAGGATTATAATTTGATGTAATAGGGAAACTTAACTGATAATTTTTACATATTCTGAAAAATTAATAAGGATAGATATTATTAAAGAGCGTATTATTAAGAGATAATTTTATGGAAAATTGCATATTGCTACTAAAATTGGACAGTTAACTTATGATGTAATATTTATTTTATATAATTTATTATTATTCTCGTGTTTTAGCAAGCGTGCGTGTGCTTATGGCTTGAAATAATATCCGATTCTTATATGAAACTACATTTTTATTATGTTTATTTAATTATCCATGAAATGATAATTATGAAAAACAATGCAATTCCACAATACATATGATAATATTCTTAAATATATGCTATGTACGAAATAATATATGTTTAATAATAAAAAGTCGTGTATTTATATCGCATTATTTTGTGCTCAAATATTTATGTCAGTGATCGAAAATGTTATATCAACAGTCGGTAATATTAATAATCTTTAATTATTTTATATATTTTAATGTAGTAATAGAAAATTGTCATATCTTCCGATTATGAGAATTTTTTAAAATTTTATTAAAAAATATGAATAAAAAATAATATAATTTTTGTTATGTCATATACAAAATACATATCTGAATCTAATTTTTATTTTCATTTTTTTTTATTATATTTATATATTTTATATATTTTTTATATATTTTATATATTTTTTATATATTATATATTTTATATATTTTATATATTTATATATTTTTTTTTATATATTTTTTATTTATTAATTAGTTTATATTTTTAATACACTTTTTCTGAGACGTGTATTGCGCTATCGCAAAAAGTAAAAATGTATGTAATGTAAGAGTATTAATGAATTAAATTTTAAGATCTAGTTTATCTACCGTTGGTCAAATATTCTTATCGTGAAATAAATCATTATTATGAATTATAGTCGCATACATTATAGTCTGCAGATAAAACTAGTTTTAATCTATATATGTCGTTCCCATAGTGATTAAGGAAAATGTTATTAATTAATAAAAGAAAAAATTTAATTAAGTGGCTTTACTATATGGCTTTACCATATGATATAATATTTAAGTCTACTTTAGATGATTCAAGTTAGATTTCAAAGTATAATTCTATTTATGATCTTTTACATTGTATATTTTGATGTATATCTCAATATTTACACATTTCAATATAATATAGACATTGTAATTCCTCAAACGCCTTTTTCTAGTAGTGCCGCGTGTAAAACTACGAAAAGAATTCCATCTTAAATACTGACATTAATTATTATCTAAATTAAATTTTACAGTTTCTCACTAAACAATTACACAGATCAAATATTTAAAAATAAGCTCATTACCAGGCTCATTTACATATCTGTACTACGAGACGACAGATTTAAATAAATGAAAGATAATCCAATTGAGATAAAAGTCAAAGCTTGCATTAAGGGAGAAAGGTCCTTTTTGCGCGGTCATTAAAGATTCTGGTCGGAACGAGTTCGACGCTCCCAATTGGATACGCGGGACAAAGTTATAAATTAGTCGCCTGGGCGTAATGGATAAATCTCGTTCTTTACTCGTGCCCGTGGTAAAGGAGGCTGAATTAACGGTTACGAAAAGGGTGCGGGTACGAAGGCGCGCGCTCGCGCTCCTCTCGGCGCCGTCGTATTCGCCGAATGCATCGTCGAATGTCGAATGCGACCGAGTTCTCGGCAGTTCTAGGCGTAAAAGTTGGCTGAAGTCCCGGCTGAAGAACTACCCGGCGGTAGCAGCGAAAGCCACGAGTCCACCTGCGTCTCGTATTCGTCGGCACGCACACGCGCGTGCGTAAGTTGGTGACTACGCGTATATTCGACCGTGTCGCCGCTAATTTGACCGCATGTGCCGTTTTCACATGCGGCTTCCATGCTGATTAACCAAGTTTTATACAACCTCAAACATCTGCGTCTAACATTTCCGCGCGCGTTTTGTTAAGACGAACATGCTGTTTCCCCCCTAGAAGAGTTATCTAGGAATAAATTTTTCAGTCAATCTTCAGACAACATTTTCAAACGTGACACAGACCATCCGCGACGACCTGAATGAGAACGATAGATATTTAAGATTATTTATTCTACGTTTTAGAAATGGCTAGAAAATTTCTGCCTGACGATTCGGAATTTTATGTTTTATATATTTTGACTATCTTTATAGACAATCTAGTGGCGAATTTATAAGCGATGGAACCGGAAACATATTCCTCAATTTTTTTATTCCTACGGTTGGATTATTTTTCATTATTGGCTAAATATTGAGGACCTTCTTTGAGAGATTTGAAGCACAGTCTGAGCATAGAAAAAAATTATTCTCAAATCAAGACAAATATTTTCATATAAAAAATTTTAGTCTTGATTTGATTGAATTGATGCAAGTATTATGTTTGCTCGACTCAAGATTAAAAATCTTCTATAGATTGTAATTTTCTTATACATGAATGTATCTATCCTGATCTAAGACTAATTTTTTTCTATGCTACATTATTTATATAATTTATTTTCGTAATTTGTAATTATATTTAAAAGTCAGCACGTTGATCTTGCTTTGCCCTTCCTTATTTAATTTTTAATCTTCTGAGCATTTTAATTATTCCGTAATTTTAATAATTTTCCGTTTAACTGTAAAGTATCATTTGTCCTAATTTCTAAGTACAGGAATATAAATGTAATATTGCGCAAAGCACATGACATGACGATATAATAATACGATATTCGTTATTATATCATCGAACTGGCGAAGAATACGCTGGTCTACATCGTTCTACAGCGTGGAGCCGAATGAAAGAAGATTGTAATACGGAGGAAATAATGTATTAAGTAGATCAGGCACGGTGAGAGCGGCTTCGAAGTATCGGGCCGCAGGCGAACGATCGGCAAAACATGCAAATTATATACGCGGTTATAATGTGATATTCCTGCAGCATTATCACACGTTTCATCGATCCGTGCCTACTCGTAAAAACTTTGGCCACGCATTTGAAACGCGATCTGCGATTATTTCCCCTGGTCTTAAGGAGACGAAGGGAGCGCTGCTCCCAAGAGTTTGCCAAAGTGTTTGACTCCTTATTGTTACGCTTGTGCTTTCGTGTTCTTTTGTCACGTTTTGTCACGTGCGGTGACAAGTCGTAAGGAGCGAGAATCTTATTTCATCAGGCGATTGAACACGAGTCGTGAAGCAGATTTGAAATATGTCTTAAGTCAAATTGAGCGCAATTTAATCCGCGTTCAAGTGTCGTCGCGCATCCGCTGGTGCAGTGATTGCGAGTGGGTGGTCAAGGAGGATATGACAATAATGCACGACGATACAATGCAACAATGCACGACGTGACGAGCGAGCGGACATACGTACACGGGAATTTTGAATAATCGCGCGAAATTTCGCACAAACCCGTCGAGAAGGCGTGCTAATTCTCTCGAGCCGTCAAACGAGCGTGTACGAATCGTCGATGCCCTCGACGACTTGACACCGACCACTTGCCAAACGTGAAACACATTTCGGCGGCGATCTTCTTTCGGCGCACCATCTCTCCGCGAATTTGATTGTGTGCCGCGAATTAAAGCAGATTGTATAACGTAGAGTAGAATGGACGAGGAATGGACGCGATACGCGAACGCGAGGCGCATGTCTCGAGATACAAGACGGGGGGGAGGGGGGAAAGAAACGCAGATTGCATCGGCGAGGCATAATATTACCGCGTGTTAAAATTGAGCGTGATTCAATCACGGTAACCGCGACGATTATGCCGTTACACGAATGCTACGAGCGGAAATGCGCGAGAAGGTAAGAGCGTAACGCGGCGTGGCACGTCGGTAGAACGCTTGATCTCTATATCGACGCGTCCGCTTAGCGTCTCACGAGTCACCGCCCAAACCAATGACCCGGTGACCAGAATCCCGGAGAGAATTGACGTTCGCGATAACGGACGATTCAATTTAGACAACGTTACTATTCGATTCGAAATTGCCTGCCGCGTTAACGCGTGCGGAGGTGCGTTCGACACGTTGCGGCCGGCCAGTTAATTTCCAATAAACACGGATCGGCATAAGAAATGTAATATAAGTTATGCGTAATCCGTAGAATCGTATAAAAGATTTCAAAAATATATTCGTAGCAAAATATATTTGTACAAATATATTTATCAGAGATATTATGCATATGTGTATCTAATTGAGCCGTCTTTTAACTGCAAAAGGAAATACCATCTAGTGGATTCTCAATATACACGAATTGATATAAGAAACGTATAAAAATGTATATATGTTATACGATATGTAAGAA